TATTATCGTACAAAACAGGTATATTGGAATGATGAATTGCAGAATTTATAGTTAAATTTCCACAGGGCAGAGAAAAAGTACTTGAGATGCAAGGAACAAATGCTAAAAAGAGAATTGTACCAAATATTTAAAGGTTGCCAATCCGACTAAGATTTAACAAAAGACTCTTTAAACGAGGGAAAGCTCTACATCCAGAACAGTTACAATACAGTAGTCCACAAGCATTTTGTAAAGATAAATATTTGGAACCGGTTCCAACTGTTCATTTTTCCCGGAATCGATCAACGTTTTTTATTACGATTCCTAGTATGCCAACGGAAGAGGAATCCGCGGCCGATCTCCGTGAAAAATAAACGTAATCTGCAAATTGTGATCAATGGTTTTCAGAGCTGATCACACCAGCTGTCTGTGTGCAGCACTGAGGCCCCCCCCCCCCCCCCCCCCCCCCCCCCCCCCCCCGTGCTCAGCAGCAAGGCTGCAAACTCTAAAGCCGGGCGTACACTGTGCGACTTTTTCACTTTTTTGAGCCGATTTTCCAGTCGTGCAAGAATCCACGACGTCGGGGCAAGTTTTGCGCCGAGCGGTCGTGTAGTGTACAGGGGCTTATGAGAGGCGATTAACACCACGTGACCAGCTACCGATCAGCAGTCGTGAGGTCGCACGGACTTCTGGCGTGTTTAAAATTTCGCTCGTCCCTCGTGAGGGTATCGCACTGTTGAAGCGGCGCTGCGAGCAGCTGCGACCCAAAAAGTATCAGAACCGCTCACAGCGCATGCGCAATCCTGCATCAACGCCGCTCGCTATTTCCCTAATAACACACGTTGTTCGTTTTTGTTTCTACACGTTTTTTTACTCACAAAGATTGTCAAGAAAGCGTGTTTGTCGTGTTCATGTCAAATAAAACTGATCACAAAACACAGATTTACTTTCTTTATTTCGTTTTCCGTATCCAACCCCCATAAATCCCTGTGTGTCCTCCTGCAGCACTCCCAAAGGACAACAGGAAAAACAAGACAAGAAAGTCTGACGTGTTGAGTAAAAACTGCTATTTTTAGCATATTTTTAGGGCCGACGTGTTGCTACCAGACGTACAGTGTGAGCAGTCAGATCGCATCCGAGAACTGGGTCGTGCAGTGTGAGCACCTGGCTCGTGAGATCTGCTCTGCGAGGAAGTCGTACAGTTTGAGCTGAAGCTGAGTTCTACGAGTGAAAAAGTCGCACAGTGTGCGCCCGGCTTAATGCACTGAGCGTGAGACACACGCATTTGACCCTCTTCACATGCTCTCACGCCACACCTCCAATCTCGCATGCTAAACCAGCGCCTGCGCTCCCAAACGCACATCGCACAGTGTGTGTGGGGCTTATGAAAAAAAAACCCAGATGATATTAATGATGGCATTAACTACAGAACAACATTCACACAAACAACACTTAAGTAATAAATTAACTGGCTTATTTCACACAGAATCCCATCTGTATAATCCAAACCGATAACGGGACGGGCATACCCGGTTCTCCCAGAACCGTGAGCTGCAGCTGCGCGCGCCGCCAAGATGACATGCTTTATTTAGAAATGCAGCCGCGTCGCCAGCCGGTGTTGACGGAGCTTCAGTCCCGAAAGTTTATCTTTTGTTTTCACTCATCAGCCACAGATCGCTGCTCTCGCTCACAGCAAGCTGGTCTTTCTACCGTGGTGACTCACTCACATGTTCCCTCTCTTACATTAGTTGGTGACGTGGTGAATTAAAACATGAATCCTAATGTTTTAATTCACCACTTCACCAGTGTGTTTTTCCTGTTTGTGAGACGAACCCCTCCTCCATAACCAGGTTACTGGTACAGAAGCCTGGAAAGGCCAAAATTCCTCAAACGTTTTTTTTCCCTACTGGCTGATATGAATTAATAGAATAGAATAGAGTAAATTTTAAGGGTCAGTTCCCTCTGTAATGCCAGAGGTATGGAAGAGGATTAGGGCCACTGAAAAGAAAAGAAAGAGAATTCTGACTTTTTTCCCTGAAGTCCCTGTCAGAATTCCGAGATTAAACGTCATAATTTTGAGAAAAAAAGTCAGAATTCTGAGAAAAATGTAAGAATTCTTTCTTTTCTTTTCTTGTCAGTGGCTCTAATCCTCTTCCATACAGAGTAGAAATAAATAAATGTAGAGCACAAAAAGTCTCAATATTAACAACCCCCCCACCCCACCAACGGTCAGCGAATTGTCCGCTCCCAACCCCATGACCCAGTCTCACTCTTTGAAATGTTCAAAAGTTGGCAGCCCTGCAGCGGCCAAATATAAACAAACGTGTCTGCCGAACTGTGACTCCGTACTGTAAACTTTAACTCCTGCAGCGTAGAGGAAACTTGTTAAAATACGTCAGTACGGTGGATTTAATAGAAGCTTTAAAGAACAACCTGTGGACATCTGGTGAGTTTGTCTCACTGCAGAAATAAAAACACACACGGAGCGTCAGCAGTCAGACACGTGAACATCAGAAGGCTGAACAATAGAATAATTAAAGTCATCATGCTAGAGAAGCTTATCTGTGGTGGACCACACCAGCTTCTGCCACAATAAATAATAATAATAAAAAATCACACACAAAGTTGTGAACATTTTAATTTCCTTTCTGAACTATTTCTGTTGAGAGTTTTAATGTTTAAAATATGTTAGATTGTTACTGACAGCAGCTACGTTTAATATTCACTTTCTGTTCTGACTGAATGCTGCTGCAGCATGGAGGTGTAGTTCTCAGTCATCCTGGACATGATCATCCTGAGAGTTGTAGCTGAAAACAGCTGGACGTTTCTGGATATGTTGGAGACATTTAGGCCTAGTCCACACGTAGCCGGGTATTTTTAAAAACGAATATCCGCCCCTCCAAAAACTTGCTTCCACACCACCTCGTTAAAAAAAAAAACTGTCCACACGTACCCGGATAAATACGTTGTTAAGGACATGCCAGACCTGTAGGCGGCAGTACTTCCCCCGTTCTTAACCTCGTCCTTCGTCTGTGGTCTTCCGCAAGGAGCGGTAATTCCTCTTGCAAAAACAAACAAGCAAAAAGCGCTTGGACAATTGATAAAGCGAGCGCAGCTCTGAGGGCATCCATGCTGTCGGCTAGTGTAAACACAGGCCACACACGTGATGTCAGCATTTTTTGTCGCGGAAAGTGACGTTGCGGACCTTAAAACTCCGGTTTTGTCTGTCCACACGCAGACACCCAAAACGGAGAAAACGCAGATCTTCACTTTGGCCGGAGTTTTTAAAAAGATCCGTTTTCGTGTGAAAAAACTCCGTTTTCGTGTGGATGACAGGCCAAAACGTAGAAAAATATCTACGTTTTGGCAGATCCGCGGCTACGTGTGGACAGGGCCTTAGCCTCTCATCCCAGAGGCTTCTTCCATATTTGGTTGTGGTCAGAAACAAACACACTGGTTGTGCTGCAAGTCTTTTTCTTTTTTTCTCCAAAACATGTTTATGTCTAAATGAAGGTGATGTTATTGTTCATAGAATTAAAATTCATGTTGAAGTTAAGATTATTTCATCAAGTAGGACCTGTGGTTAGCTAACTCATGTAAAGCATGGAACGTCTTCAAAGAATCAGAATTGGGAATCGATAGGAACCGGAATCGAAATGAGGAATTGGAATCGGAATAATTCAAAATCAAACGGTGCCCAACCCTATCTGTATGCATGTCCTAGTTCTCACTTATTTAATGATGAATTTTTAGATGACACTTGCCAGATCAAATGTTTACTTGAAGATAAAATGATTAATGTACCTCCATATTACACTAATTATATTTTAAATAAAGACATTTCAGTAGAAGAGATACAGGAAGTTATAGAAAATGCAAAAATACACAAAGCTGTTGGTATTTATGGATTGCCTGATGAACTTCTCAAATGTCCCAGGCTATTAACTGTCCTGCACCGTTTGTTTAATTATTGTTTTCAGTCTGGTATTATTTCGTCAGAGTGGTGCAAATCTATTAAACCCATTCTTTCATCCCCACAGTGAGACCCAAGAGACCCTTTAAAACACATTGCTTATAAATTTGGCAAATCAGAATATGACACATTTGAGGGCTTTACGAAAATATACTTCAGAAGTCCCTCCTTCCTTCAGATACAAAGATGGTTAACTCTGTGTGAATGTTACTTATTATAATGTGTATCAGTATAGATATTGGTTAAAGCACAGATTATTCAAACATTTGATTTAAAATCTTGTTCATTCAACACATATGATTATTTACACTTATAAGTTGTAAAGTCATGTAGGAACTTTGAGGAGGTTGAGTTTTATTCCTAGTGAGGGTGCAGCGGTCTTGACTTCTGCTTGAGGCCTTGAGCAAAGATGTTATGGCTTCTTTGCAGTAACAAGAACTGGGGCAGAACTTTGTTTTGGATTTGGAGGCCAGACAGATGGTGTTTTCGTGTCTGCAAATGAAAGGTTAACTTCTGGTCAATTTGTTGGTGAAAATTTGACCACTGGTACCTTAACAATGGACTCACTCATCTTAGCTCGCAACAGGGAGGCTGTTGTTGATTTAGCATCCAGGAGCGAGCACTGCACATCTTTGCTAGTAGAAGCTAACCATTAGCATTAGCAATTCCATAAAATAGCTGAACTCCTTCAGGCTTGGGTTATTTGTGGAGATAAAACATCAATGTTGCAGAGCAAACTTGGTGGTCACATTACTGTTAGCCAGTCAGAAGCGAGATGTCCAAATATCAGGAAATAATAAAGACTCCAAATCCTGCCATTCTCTGCTCACTTCTCCGAATAGCTTCTAGTTCCTGAAACAGGAGCATGAGCCCCCCCCCCCCCACCCACCCACACACACACACACACAGAGGTCAACAGACATCAATTATACTAGAGATCACTGCAAATGGGCTGGAAAAATTAGTGAACTTGGTCTTTACCTGTCCACACCAGCTGATCTTCTGAGATTGTTTAAATTGGTTTTTGTTGGGTTTGTTTCCGTTTCAGGCCTTCCTGGAGATGAACACTCATGATGAAGCTCTGGACATGGTGAACTACTACAATCAGAACCCAGCGTCTCTTTATGGGAAACCCGTCACCTTCTACCTGTCCAAGAGGCTCATGGTCATCGAGGTAACCAGCTGCTTTCACCTCAGCTCGGCTAAAGTGTCGATCTACTCTGACCCGGTTCTGTCCTACAGAAAGATTCACGCTCATCAGACCGACCCATGGACCGGCCTCTTCGGGATCTCAAAGGTCACAACAGCAAAGTGGTTTTCTTCTCTAACCTGCCCAGAGAGGATGAGAAGAAGAAGGAGCTGCTGACCATCGCTGAGCGCTTTGGCGTGGTGGAGAAGCACCTGTTCTTAACTGACCAGGTAACCAAAGTATCTATAACACAGTCAGAGCCAACTAGGACCGCTAATTTGTGTCATAAAATAAAGACGTGGAGCTCATGAAATAAAAATTTAAGTCCAGTCTTACTGGATCTGAGAAAATGAGATTAAATAGGGAAATGCTCTGGTTTAGAGTTGGTTAGGGTTAGGCGTCACTAAAATGAAAGTCAATGGAGGTTGTGTGTGTGTGTGTGTGTGTGCGCGTGTGTGTGTGTGTGCGCGTGCGTGCGTGCGTGCGTGCGTGCGCGTGTGATGATTATTGTGAACCTGTTGCATACCAGCTGCTGACCAACTTTCTGTCACTAAACTGGAACAGTGAGTGAGTGAGGGACCTGTTTTACCGGCTCTGTAAACTTGTTTGTGTGTTCAGGCCTTCATTCAGCTGGGGACGGTGGAGGACGCTGAGATGTTGGTGAAGTATTACAGTGTGAACCCGCTCACCATCAGAGGAAGGTCCATCCGCCTCAATGTCTGCACCAAATACAAAACCCTCAAGTGAGTCACCTCCTTTACTCCACTGACTGGTTCTGGTTCTGGCCCAGTTCCGCATCTTCTATAAGATGTTTCTTTTAGTTATTAATAAAAATGCCAACATGAGCTTCATAAGAGGCTGCTGATTCCAGATGTCAGAGGTCAATTTGCTTGATTTAATCTTTATTAAAAAGAAAGTTTGAATCCAGATGTTTGTTCTTCTCTCAGCGTAAGCCACAGACAGGAAGCAAAAGATGGTCAGGGCCGGAAGAGTAGCAGAACAGATTCAACATCCTCTGCCAAGACAGCCATGTCCAAATCTAAGAGCAAGGATGAGAAGCAGAAGCAGCAAGAGGAGGAAGAGGGGGAGAAGGCGAAACCTGGAGACAAACCTGCAGCAGAGGAGGAGGAGGAGGAGAAAGATGAGGAGGCAGCATGTGGAGTAGAGGACAAAGGGGAAGATGAAAAGGCTGATAAAGACCCAGAGGAGGAGGAACCAGGAAGAGCAGAGGCTGTGGAGGAGGAGGAGGAGGAGAAGAGTGAGGTAAGTAAAATGCAGCATTAACAGATGAGGAAGAATAAATGATTTAAGCAATAACATAAAACACTTGCAGGCTCCTGATGGCAATGATGTCACAGCTGGAGATGTGACCAAACAAGCGGCAGAGTCAGAGGGACAGACTGAAGCAGCAGAAACAGAAGCTTCAACTGAGGACCACGAGAACAAAGATGAAGGAAACAAAGCAGCAGAGGGCTGTGAGGCAGAAACAGATGAGGTGTGTGTGCTGAAAACCACAGGAGTGAGGATTAATTCTGATCTGCTACTTATTTGGGACAATTGTACACCTGCTGGAAGGTTTCATCCCAAGCCACTCTGAAGTAATTCTTATGAAAGATGCTGAATCCCAAAAGTTTCCCTGTGGGCTCAGTACTACCTTTGCTCTTCAGGCTTGGGTTGAATACATCATAATAAATAAAGGAGATCAATTCAGTATCTTTTTTTGGTTTACAAAAGATTTCTTTTCATTTAGAATTCAACAATTCCAGAACTCGGCACAGGAACATCAGAGAGAAGTTAAAAGTGAAAGCTGTGACTTAATTTTCCCAGTTACCAGAGAATCCAATCCTGGTTTGTCCCAGAATTATTCACGTTCTTTATGCTCCATCCATCTTCAGATTGACCAGGACTTCCTGGAGAACATGGGGGACTTTGTGACACTGGACGAGTTGGGAGAAGATGAAGGTGATTCTCATGAGGAGTCGGAAGCTTTTGGTACGTCATTGATCAAAAATGAGTGTTGTGATATTTTTGGTTCCTAAAACTGACAAGTGTCTTTGTCTCTACAGATAACACAAGAAAAGGGGTATGCACATGTTCTCCCATCAGCATGGATGTTCCTGCTGCTCCTGACAGCACCACCCACATTGCTATCATTAATGTCATCGGGCCCGTTTCATCCTGATCTTCTGGGCTACTCAGACCAATTTCATTGAATCTGTTTGTCGTCTACAGGGAATGAGAGTGGTGAACATTGGTGGCTTCAGGAGAGGTTACAACTTCGTCCATGAGCTCCTGGCACTCGCTAAACCTTTTGGGAAGGTGGTAAAACACCTGGTTCTGGACCTGCGACCCGAGGTAAGAGCCCACAAGGTCCTCACTCAGATGACTCAGAACTTTAACACGTCTGAAACACTGAACTGAACCGTCAACCACCCGATCCTCTTATGCTAGCTTTAAAGGTTTAGTCTAATTCTCCAGGGGCCTCATTTATCAAGCTTGCTTACGCACAAAACGGGGTCGGAAAACTGCGTAAGAATGTTTCCACGCAAACTTTGGGATTTATGAAAGAAAACTTAGTGGAAAAATGTGCACAACTTTAAGTTGACTAAGGACCTGGCTTACACACATTTTGGACATGGAGAGCACCTGCAGTGCTGCTGCTGAGAAGGATAAAATTATGAAATCCTGCAGCATTATCACTTGTACTGCTTCATTTTCACACAGAACAAGACCCCCCACATGCACACACACATGCGCGCGCACACACACACACACACACACACAACCTGAAGCGCAGAATACTGAATGCAGAATATCAACAGGGGGACAGATAGAGACAGAATGTCATGCGTCTGTGACAGTGTGTGTCCTGTCACTGTGACCCGATTCATCATGTGCCCTGGCTACTTGGACAAGGAAGATTTCTGTTTGGTCGACTGGTTAGCACTTATGACTTTTACCCGGGAGTTTTGGGATGGAATCCCAATTGGATCATTGTTTTTATATCCCACAGATCTCTCTGAATAACCCACAGCATTGACTCCTTCAGCAACGCTGTGCCACTCTGGATTTTCTCTTATTTGTTTTCAATTCAATTCAGTTCAAAAATACTTTATAAATCCCAGAGGGAAAATGATTGCTGTAGTAGCTCAGAATAATAATAATAATCAAGTCATCAAAGAGTTATTGTATATTACAATGGCTGTTGGCAGGAAGTATCTCCAGTAGCGGTCAGTGTTGCAGCCAAACTGAAGAAGCCTCTGACTGAAGACACTCTTCCGTTGTCGGACAGTCTTGTGAAGAGAATGCTCAGGGTTGTCCATTATTTTCTTGATTCTCTGGAGAATCCTTCTTTGCATTATCTCCTCCAGTGGTTCCACAGTCGTCCCCAGAACAGAACCAGCCTTTTTTATTAGGCTGTTGAGCCTTTTCAGGTCCCTGCTTCTGATGCTGCTACCCCAACAGACGATGGCTGAAGAGATTACACTCTCAACAACAGACTTGTAGAAGATCTGCAGCATCTTGCTACAGACATTGAAGGACCTAAGCATCCTCAAGAAGTGCAGTCTACTGTGTCCCTTCTTGTAAACAGCTTCGCTGTTCTTTCTCCAGTCCAGTCTGTTGTCCAAGTGAACTCCAAGGTATTTGTATTCCTCAATTTGCAAAAGTACTTCCTTTCATTTCTCCACCTCACCCACAGGAACCTCTGCTTCTGTGAAGTAGTGCTTCCTTGATCTGCCGGTCGCCATGTCATTGGCGAAGCGCTGCAACAAGCCAGCTTATGTATAGAGTGGGGCAAAAAAGTATTTAGTCAGCCACCGATTGTGCAAGTTCTCCCACTTAAAATGATGACAGAGGTCAGTAATTTACATTATAGGTACACTTCAACTGTGAGAGACAGAATGTGAAAAAAAATCCATGAATTCACATGGCAGGATTTTTAAAGAATTTATTTGTAAATCAGGGTGGAAAATAAGTATTTGGTCACTTCAAACAAGGAAAATCTCTGGCTCTCACAGACCTGTAACGTCTTCTTTAAGAAGCTTTTCTGTCCTCCACTCGTTACCTGTATTAATGGCACCTGTTTGAACTCATTATCTGTATAAAAGACACCTGTCCACAGCCTCAAACAGTCAGACTCCAAACTCCACTATGGCCAAGACCAAAGAGCTTTCGAAGGACACCAGTAAAAGAATTGTAGACCTGCACCAGACTGGGAAGAGTGAATCTACAATAGGCAAGCAGCTTGGTGTGAAAAAATCAACTGTGGGAGCAATTATCAGAAAATGGAAGACATACAAGACCACTGATAATCTCCCTCGATCTGGGGCTCCACGCGAGATCTCATCCCGTGGGGTCAAAATGATCATGAGAACGGTGAGCAAGAATCCCAGAACCACACGGGGGGACCTGGTGAATGACCTGCAGAGAGCTGGGACCACAGTAACAAAGGTCACCATAAGTAACACACTACAACGGCAGGGAATCAAATCCTGCAGTGCCAGACGTGTTCTGCTGCTGAAGCCAGTGCATGTCCAGGCCCGTCTGAAGTTTGCCAGAGAGCACATGGATGATACAGCAGAGGATTGGGAGAATGTCGTGGTCAGATGAAACCAAAGTAGAAGTCGTGTTTGGAGGAAGAAGAATACTGAGTTGCATCCCAAGAACACCATACCTACTGTGAAGCATGGGGGTGGGAACATCTTGCTTTGGGGCTGTTTTTCTGCTAAGGGGACAGGACGACTGATCCGTGTTAAGGACAGAATGATTGGGGCCATGTATCGTGAGATTCTGAGCCAAAACCTCCTTCCATCAGTGAGAGCTTTGAAGATGAAACGTGGCTGGGTCTTCCAACACGACAATGATCCCAAACACACCGCCCGGGCAACAAAGGAGTGGCTCCGTGAGAAGCATTTGAAAGTCCTGGAGTGGCCTAGCCTGTCTCCAGACCTCAACCCCATAGAAAATCTGTGGAGGGAGTTGAAAGTCCGTGTTGCTCGGCGACAGCCCCAAAACATCACTGCTCTCGAGAAGATCTGCGTGGAGGAATGGGCCAAAATACCAGCTACTTTGTGTACAAACCTGGTAAAGACCTATAGTAATCGTTTGACCTCTGTTATTGCCAACAAAGTTTATGTTACAAAGTATTGAGTTGAATTTTTGTTATTGACCAAATATTTATTTTCGACCCTGATTTACAAATAAATTCTTTAAAAATCCTGCCATGTGAATTCATGGATTTTTTTTCACATTCTGTCTCTCACAGTTGAAGTGTACCTATGATGTAAATTACTGACCTCTGTCATCATTTTAAGTGGGAGAACTTGCACAATCGGTGGCTGACTAAATACTTTTTTGCCCCATTGTATGCATGAGGTCCACAAGGCACTTTGCATTGACGATTAATGGCAGTAAGTGGGCGTGGTGAGGGCGGGATGTGACTAAAAAGCAGCTGAGAACATTTGTAGATAGTTTCCGATTTATGAAGCGGAGATTGCGTGCAGCTGTGCGTACTCCATGTTTGATAGATCACAAACCTACTTGGCGTGAGTACTTTTTTTTTTTTTTTTTTTGCTGAGCTTAAGTACGGTTTTAGTAAGGATTCTACGCAATGTTTGATGAATGAGACCCCTGGTAATTTACGGTTTTCCTCTAAGAAACCTAAACCTTCAGTGTGGGGATTGGAAATGACAAATGGAGCTACAGAAAGGAGGTCTTTTATTTTCTTTACTGACAGATGAACAAGAAAATGGCCATGCTTTCCTTTTTTGGAACAAATTTCCCGTTTTTATAAATGAGCACCTTTGTGGAGCCTCATCAGTTGACTCCTGACTTGTCTCCTTTTCCTCCTCATCCTCAGGCGTACATTCAGTTTGAGAAAGAGGAAGACGCGATCGCCATGGCAAAGTTCTACAACAGTAATGTTACGGCGTCTGTGTGCGGCCGGCCAGTAAGGATCACTCACTACCGGAGTCATCCCACCATCCAGGTGAGCTGCTTCCGCTCCTCTGTGGTTCTCACACACAGTCAAATGTTCTTAACCAGAACAGAGCCAGTTGTACTTGTTGAGTAAAAAGACGTGTGTGTGTGTGTGTGTGTGTGTGTGTGTGTGTGTGTGTGTGTGTGTGTGTGTGTAAACAGTGTGGGGACAGCAAAGTTGTGTACATCGGTCAGATTCCCAACGTTAAATACTCCAATGAAGATATTCTAAGCCTTGCTGAGCCATATGGAAAAATTCGGAAGTACTTCCTGCACAGGCTGAGGAGAGAGGTACAGAACCAAAACTAGTTAGATTGGCTGGGACGGCACTAGGATCCAAAGTTTATGACGTGTGTGTGTGTGTGTGTGTGCAGTGTTTCGTAGAGATGGACAGAGTGGAGGATGCAGAGAAAATGGCTGAAGCGTGTAAAGAGAAGCCGCTGAAGTTTCGAGGAAAACGCCTTACCACCTACGTGAGCAGGAAGTACAAGCAGCTGAAACATGGGTGGGTCTCTAACGTCATCAGAGCATCAACATTAAATTAGATTGTTGCAGAAGAATATAAAACAAGAGTTTTAGACCTTTATTCTCTTTAAAATTCATCATAGAGAAGAACAAGCAGGTGTTTTAATTTTCATTTGTTAAAATGAAAGGTTTTCAGATGTTTAAGCAGGTTTAAAGGCATCTGACCTGCTGAAGTTTGACCCCGGTCTCCTGAATCTGCTCAGATCTGGTGTTTTTGAATTAAAAACTGTTTACAAATACATTTTTTCATTGTGGTTTTAAACCAGACAGATCTGTTTTATTTTATTCATGGTATCTCTTATTTCAGCCATGTCAAACATCTGTAAGTAGTTTAGTTTCCTCAGGCTTTTGCTGTGAAGATATTGTTAAAGTTAAAACGTCCTGATAGGTTTGTCTCCTCCCTTCTAACGGCGTACAACTCTTCTTTGCCATTCCTGTTGAGTGTTTCCTCATTAGCAATGGCTGCTGAACAGCAAAGGAACAATCTGAGTGTCGTTCACCTTGATCGTGTAGATCACTGTTAAGCCTGATTCATGCTTCTCCGTCTGCGTCAGTGTGGAGACACGCAACGCCATTATCCGTCCTTGCGGGCCTGCTGGAGAGCTCTGCAAGGACGGACGGAGTTGAGCTCTCTTTTCTAAACATCCGTCCGTTGAGACGGAGAACGCAAGCTTGTGATTGGTCAGGGCGCCGCTGTCATCTACACCGCCGCCATTGCGCCCTCAAAAACATGAAGAGAGCCAAGGATAACAAGCGGCAAACACGGAGAAGCTTGAAGAATACCTCATGAAAAAACTCGAAAAATATGAACGTTTAATTCTCCTGTGACTGGAGGAGTGAAAAGATGCGCAGCAAGCGTTTTATTTGTGGACGGAAATGACAGGAAACGTGGGTTTAGAGGTGGCGAGTGCATGAAGAGGTGGAGGAGAATGAGAAACAAATATGTCCGTGTTAAGTCTCTTATATACAAAAAAAACACAATATAAACACACCATCATGGACCAGATACATAGAACAGCGCTACGCCCTCTGTTGTCCTGCCGGGGAATTGCTTTGCAACACTCTCCAGGAGACGGAGAAGTATGAGGGCAAAATGTCTCCGTCTGTACGTGCGTGTCTCTCCCTGTTGGAGCTGACGGAGAAGCATGAATCAGGCCTTACTCAAAAAAAAAGCTTCACTCATGTTTTAATGTTGAGAACATCAAAATCGTCTCTGCTGCGTTACTGGCAGCTGGGGGCTTTTAGTACTCGCTCTAGACTTTGTTTTTCTGTGTTCTTCAATTCTAGGTCAGGTTTTATGAAAATGTTTTCTGCATTTTAGCTTCATTCTGTCTGTAAAAATGAAACCACATGACTGGTTGGTTTGTTTAATGTTCATTTTTCGTTCAGCCATCTCTGTCCGACCAAGATAAAAAGGGCATCCAGCAGCTCTCCACCAAAATCCAGCCAACCCACCGAAGAGCCGCCAGCCAAAAAGCAGAAAGTGGAGGAGCCAAAGGTGGAGGAAGAGGAACCAAATGTAGAGAGGAAGGAGGAGCCAAAGGAGGAGATTAAGGAGGTGGAGAACAGTGACAATAAAGAAGAAAACTCTTCTGAGAAACCTTTAGAAGATTCTGAAGAGAAGAAAAACAGCAAAGATGTAAGTGACTGTTGAACCTGATTAATGACTAAACAGGAATTCAGTCTGGGCAAAAACTCAAGTAATCTGAAATCATGATGGATAGATTCAGGGGAATCTAATTCTGGGGCTGTCCGGGTCCTTTGTTGATGGCACAGACTGGAAGTGAGCTGCTTTCCAATAGGATGGTCTAGCCCAGCGTTTCTCAATTAGTGGAGTGTGAGATGCAGGAGAATCTGGGAGGGGGGGGGCGATGGAAAACCAGGCTAGCCATATGATTTATTCTTGCCCTGCCTTGACAGCTCAAAAAATAATCCTCTCCCACTTTGTCTGCCATTACTACAAGAATAAAAGTCTTCCTTGCCCACAATAAATCTTGGGATGTGGTGAGCCAGGAAGTAAACTTCAGATCTGTCCATAAACCTGTAAAAGAGAAGAATGCATTGGAAGAGTCTTCCAATTTGGACATGGGTTGAAGGCTGCTCCTGAATGTGGGAAGTGGCTAGGAGGAGCTTTAGGCGTTGCATTCTATTCTAGGTTCTTGTTATCCACATCAATCTTTGATCAAAGCTGTTAAAGGGGGTGATTGTGGCAGAAGGTAGCCTGAGACGAATGGCTGCTAAGTTGGTTTACTTTGCTCTACAGGAGAACCAGGAAAATCAGCAGGAGGATATGGACACATCAACCGATCAAAATGGACAGAATGAAGCTACAACCACACCTGACATCAAACCCAGACTGGCGTCTCTGCCACTGCCACCCTACGACCCTGATACGCCCATCGGTAAAGCCCGCTGAGCTACAGTCAGACTGCTGATTGAATCTCTCTGATCTGATTGGTTGGTTTTGTGCAGGTGTGGAACATGTGAAGATGGGTTACTACTGTCGCGTCTGCTTCCTGTTTTACTCGAACGAAGACACGGCCAAAAAAAACCACTGCAGCAGCCGTGTGCACTACGACAAGCTGCAGGTGAGACATGTTTTACCAATGCCTCATATGGTGGTTCTAGATCACGTTATTGATTTGAGGATAACTTGTTTCAGAAACATCTGGAGAAGGAACAGACGAAAGCTGGGAAGAAGGTGAAGAAAACTGTCTGAATCTGAATCTCCAACAAGGATTATTATTTTTTTATTTTGTTCTTTACACGTGATTTTAGATTTTAGACTTCGTGTTTAGTCTGTTGCCATGACTACTTCCATTCCTGTAGGATCTGGATGTTTACCAGAATAAATGACTTCCTCAGATGTGACATTTTTATTTGAAAACTAAAATTACAGATAAAGTTAAACCAGCTTGTGTCAGAGTTTTTCATTAAATCCCCCACAATACTCAGTTCATCCACGGGTTCTTCCCTGTCTTCTCCTGAAACAAAACAGAGCAGATGTTAGGAGTGGCCAACACCGGCTGGGTGGTGAAACAACTGGCTTCCACAGCAACCTGATACTTCCTGTAGTGCTCCGGTGTGCTGCAGTGGAGCAGCTTGGCTTCATCCTCATCACTGAAGATCAGCTGACACAGATTGCAGAAATAACCAACAACTGGGCGCACAAACTCTGCTCCTGCAACACAAAAACCAGAGGGACAGTGAACGCACCGCAGGAAGCAACTAAATAAACCCTCTAACCCAAAATGCCAGCCAAACTCCTTCAGAAAGATTGGCTGCTGGGAAGAAAAATACTAGACTTCATGAAATATGTGGCCTAACAAATCCTTAGTCCCAATCAGAAAAAACATTCATGAATGTATTTAATCTTACTTAAAAAAGAAAAAAATCTAGCCATTACAGATTAGTCTGCTTTCATCAACATGAACACACACAAATATTTTTTTTACCTTAAAATCAAGTGTCTCAACATTACTAAGACAAAAAGTGGAAGTCCACAGATGTGGTCTCAGGAGGTCAAACAGGAAACTTACCAACTGGTGTGGCAGGTTTCTTGGGTCCTGCTGGGCTGTTGGCTGGTGCAGACTGTCGATCCATGTCTGCGTTCTGAAAGCAGACCTTAGATCAGTCCTGCGCTGATGTTCGTGCAACTGAAATTAAGCTGTGATCATGGAGGATTCAGATTTACATATTAAATTTTTAGAAAAAATTCTACTCATCAGGATGACCCAGGTGTTTAACAAGACTAACTTGATTTGTTCAAAGCAAAGATCACACAGGCTTCATCCATGCACTTTTTAAAATCTGCCTAGACCAAATATTAAGACCACAGGAGGACAAAATAAAGAGGAAGCAGTGAAATTACACTGCTTCCTAACTTTTGGCTACTTCTGCAGCAGAGCTCTAAGAATTTCTTCCACTCCTTCACAATAAAAGCCTCAAACATATAAACATAAAACATCTTGAATCTTTTGTGTTTTCTACTAAAACTTTAGGAGAGCCCTTTACTGACAGTTTAAATCCAGTTATAGGTGATCTAGGGTTTATGCTGTTGGTTTAACTCTCTAATTGACTTATTGGGACTGCCTGTGTTGCTTTCGGACATAAAAAAAACGTCTAGGCAACAAACTAAATGACCGAATTAAAAACAGCTTCTGGAAAGATTAATATTAAAAACTCAAAAATCTGAGCTGCCACTGAATGCACCAGCATTCAATCAGCAGCTGTAACCAAACACCTGATGGATAGACAGTGGTCCAATCAGAACCTGTGTGTAGATAAAGTGACACAAATCTGAAACTGAAGATGAAACCCTGTTTTGGGTTTTTCTACAATCGGTATGAACGTTCTCTCAGCATCTACAACCCACCTAAAGGTCAGCGGCTTGGCATTCAAGCTCACCTGTTGTGGTTCTGGTTGAGATGTTTCTGTTTTCATCTTGGTGTCTGATGATGGTTCTTCAGATTGTTCAGCCTCCTGAGAATCGATGGCATGTCCAGTTCTTGCTCCTCGTCTGGATGTGGACTCTCTCTTATCTGTAGTTTTTTTATCCAGTTCCTTCTCTGAAGTTGTTTTGAGCTCCTGATCTTCAGTTGTTTTGCTTTTTGAATTAATTTTTGAAATGTTCTCAGCTGTCTCCATTTCTGAAGTCTCATCAGTCTTTTCCTCCAGAGTCTTCCTCAATGACCCCTCTCCCTCTCTGGAACAGGTCCGGTCTGGGTCAGAGGCATCAGATTTTTTCAGTCCTCTATTCTCGCTGTGGCTGTGGGCTGTGTCCTCGGTGAGATGGCAGATCAGTGATGCGGATGATGGGAAGGAATGGAGGTGGTGATGAGGTGGTTCTGACCCACTGGTGGACCCACTACTGGTTCTTGAGTTGCTAATGAGGACTGGTTTGGACTGGAGCACTCGGTCAGCTCTTTGAGACTCAGCAGGAGTTGACATCTCCACCAAAACCTAAAATACAGGGAAAGAGTCTGAAATCTCCCCAAAGAACCTGAACAGAACCAGCAGGATTCATTACAACAGAGATCTTTAGGAAATAAAACCTCTGATGGTACTCAACCAAAACAGGACCAATAAGGTGTGCATCAGAACGTCTCCTCTGGACCAGACCCAGTTTCTGGCCTAACTTAAATGTGCTCCAGAAACAAATCTGACACTGATCAACAATTCTGAACATCTGAGTTCTTGGTCAAGAACAATTTGAGTTAGAAATCTCACCTTGGACCCATCAGAACCAGCAGCACCACCTGTAACAGAGCAGAATATCAGAGTGATTCAAACTGAACAGGGTTTTAGTGTAGGTCTACCTTCATCATCGCAGTCCACCTGATCCAGGGTGATGCAGTTCTCCAGGTCCACATGGAAGCCCTCATCCTACCCAGAAACAAAACATCAGGGATCAGAACCAACACTTGCCTTCAAATCCACTTTCTGTTTGCATCAGAACCGGTACTGGTCCGAGGCAGCCTGAAAAGTCTAATCAGACTGACATTAACAGCTGGACAAGGAGACACATCTGCCACTCAGCTCTGCAGCTCTTCAACATTTTAAGTTACCAAAAAATTTCAGACAAACCCCGGAAACACAAAACAAACAAAACCAGGTCAACCACTCCAACATAAACAACAAATAAAAGAATCAAGAATATTTTTGTCAAAATCAACAGAAAATCTGCAAAACTAAAAACACAACATCTCTACTCATCATTCTGGAACATGGACTAAACATCTGGACTAACCTGAACTCCCTTAACCAGCACCTAAACATCCGATAAGGATGAACTATGTTCTGAATCTGAAAGGTTGTTAAGTGTAGTGGTTCAATAGTTACATCTTACGTGAGAAACCATCAAAGGTGAGATTCCATAGAAAATATGGAATCAATTTGATGCATCCTTGAATACTACCTTTAAACAGAAGATAGGAACTTTATATTGCAGGGATTAGGTAACACTTCGTAATAACCCAGAGTCAAAAGAGAGCGAGAAAAGTGTTAAAGTTTAAGAAGATTTATTTCTAAACAATTTAAAACAAGGCTAACTAACTAAACACTCTGTGTGATGAATGGATCTAGGTGTGAATGAGGCAAGATGGATGGTGTAATGTGGAATGTTGTTATCAGAACTCTCGTTTCCGGAGAAGCATTAGTTCTGTGTGGGAGCGAATGTTTTTGCTCTACACTATAGTCGGAGTTTCAAAACCACATTCAGACACTATCTTGCCGTTCTACATACCCTTGCGGAGACCTCCATGTTCGATCCAGAATGCCAGGTCCTCGGACCCCCCTTTGGTACTGGAGCCGGTGAAACAGTGTACGGTACGACAGACTAGTCTTGGAATGCCTCCAGGTAAACAACTGTTATTGGACAGCGGGACCCTGAAGGGTCAGTGAGTTCAGCTTTTACTCTGAAGGAGCGTTGCATTCAGGTGGAGCTTGCAACTGGTTTTATTATCCAGCTTGTCAAGGTTCTTTGTGGTTAAAAAGTTACGAGTGGCCGGCTCTCAACTCTAGAACGTTTGAAATGAGTTAAGGGTGACGTGGGAGTTAGTTTCATAATTCAGATGTTTTGATTTATGGTTGAATCAGAATGTGACAACAAAAATAAACACCGCACAGACTATGCCATGGCATCAGAAAGGAAAGCTCTGATTGGAGACAAAGGAATGTGTCATGTGATCTTAACATTACGTGTGATCAGTCTAGTGTGTAGTTTAAAGTTATATTACTTATTAAAATACTATCATAGGATTATAAAATCAAGTAATTAATATTCTCATTTCACAGATTGATTTAACATTGAACTTTACATGATTATTTGGACTAACAAAGTTATTTGATTATTATTTAATAGAGTTCTTGGTCTTCTATCTTGAGCTGTAGGGGGAGCCAAATAGCTAGTTAAGACAGTTTAGATAGAGGCATCAAAAGGCCTTGAGCCATATCTCAAAGAGTTTAGTTCTTCATGAGGAGAGAGGGGAAAACAGTCCCTTCATGACGCTACATTAGAAACAAACATTTTATTGTTCTTATGGAAAAGTTTAAAATAGTCATTTATTATGTCCTTAAAGGAACTCAGATCCTAGGATCCCAGGAGGGTTTAAGACCTAAACACCGGACGACATCTGAGAAAGTTCCATCTGTGTGTTCTGAAAGTTTTACCTCATCCTTCTGGAGGTCTGAAGCCTCCTCTTCTTCTTTTTCCTCCTCCTTCACTTCACTTGTCTTCCCCTCCTCTCCACATTTCTCCTGACCAGGCTCAGTGTGTTCCGCCTCCTCCTCCTTTACCACCACAGCCTCTTCCCCATCCTGAGTTTTCATGCCTTTTACCCCCTCTTCATCTGGAAATGAGCATGTTGCTAAAAGTTCATATTTGAAGGCTCATTTGTGATCTGATCCGTGTTTGTTGCTACCTTGCTCAAGTGAATTCTCTCTTTCTTTGGAACTGTTTGTTTTCTCCTCCTCCTCGATTTCTACATCTTCATCATTTACATCCTCTCCGTCCTCTGCGATGACCTCCATCCCCTCGATATCACTGTCATCTGCCGACAGCCTGAAGGAATCAACACCTCCACTCAGAAATTGTCTGACCTGTAGATTCTGGTTCTGGTGTGAACTCAACTCACCCATCATCAACACACATCTGTTCTTCAGTAACAGGGACACCTTCAGGTTCAGATTTTATTCCTGCGTCTGCAGAGAGGGAGACGGCAAACATTTCACAAACCTCTAAAGAATCTGATTAAACATTGTGTTGCTGCAAATTTAAACAAGAGTTGAGTCTGAACCCAGAACCAGAGGAGACCTGGGTCCATCCTCACAGCTTCTACGATAACCAGGATGTTCTATACCAGCCTGAAGCTGCAGGTCAGATTATTTTGCTGCTATTATAAGAACTGAAGAAAAGTTGAACCGACAAGTGGGTCAAACCTCCCCCACAGACTGATGACTGTTGGATCTTCACCCTCACTGGTTCTGTGTTGTATTTAAATAAAGACAGAGTGACACTTTCATCTGAAGTTACAGAACCATTGGTGCCAGATCAGATTTGTCCACAGAAAAGGGTACCAAGAGCTCCTGTAACTACCGTAATTAGGTCATTGATTCACAACAAAAGGCAACAGACACCTTACCACTCCAAAGTTTAACCGTTCCTGTGAGATCTGGGTCCTTCTGAGCCACTGTGCATCGTCGCGATGCAAAGCCATTTCGGTTTAAAAACTTTTGCAGCCAACCCCTGCTAGCCAGAAATTGTTCGCCTCCATCACTCACTGTTGGGTATATTTCCACAGCTTTGTTTCGGATAATTCGTCTTGATACTCTGTTATGATTGTCCCTCATTGAATTGATCCAATCAGAGAGTTTTGTGTCCAACTCCGTGCTAACCTTTTTTCTCCCTCCTCCTGGCAGTCTTGCTCTCCTTTTGTTTGCTGCAGCTAGATCCATTTTCTGCTTTTTCCAGTATCTAATTCTTTTCGGGTCAATGCTAAAATGTTTAGCAGCTCGCTCCCCAGAGTGCTCTGCAGCATATTCCAGCACCTTCTCTTTGAAGTAGATGTCAAATTTACGTCTCTTCTTTGGCTCTGCAGCTGCCATGGTAAACGTTAGCCTAGCAATGGCCGTGTTGTTCGAGATGAGCCAGTTCTGCGCAGATTAGACCAGCGGTGATCGGCGAGCAGTGCATGCCGGTTAGATTTTTTTTTAAATATATATATATATATATTTTAATTTAAATCCATCAATCAAACAGTCAAAGACATACAAATATGGAAAATAAAATAAAAAAAGATGTAATACATACACAAGAGAGTAAAAGGAAAATTATCAAAAATAAATAAACAGAAATGAAGTACACACAAAGAGTAATTAAACAAGTACATTGAACAGCGTACAAGTATTCAGAGTTTTAACTGATTTTTTGTTCTGTACACAAGAAATGGTGGATATATACTGTTCCAGTTCTGTTCTTAGCACAGGAAAAAAAGGGTTTTTTATTACAGAGTTTAGATTTATGAATATGGAATTTAGCAATAAATAAAATCAAGTTTATCAGAAAGAGTGCATCGTTATCTTTACCACTACCTCCAAAACAACCAAAAATGTCATTTTTATAGTACAGGGAGAAATCAGGAAGAATGTTGTGAGTTAAGAATGAATTGACGTCTTTCCAAAACTTGTAAATAAATTCCCATGTCCAGAATAAATGTGAAGTAGTTTCAGGGTGTAAGTTGCAAAATGAACACTTTACATCAATATCCTTCTTAAACCTACTAAAACATACCTTCGTTGGGTAAAACCTGTGTAGAATCTTAAAAGAGATTTCTTTAATTTTGTTGGTTAAAAGAAACTTCTGTGGTAGGGACCAGACTTTTCCCCAGTCTACGTTATGTCCAAACCTGTCCCAATAGACAGTTGCAGATGAAATAGAGACCAAGTCAGCCTGAAATAAAGATCTAATTTTGGAGTTCAATGTTTTAGAGGTAGAAAAACAGACTTTGCCTAGTGGAAGCTGAGTTAGATCCGAAGGTGATGCTGATAACGGAGGACAGACACAAGCCGTCTTAAATAACATACGAAGACCTGAAGGCACAGCATCAAATACTATAGAAAATTCTTTTGGGCTTATTGGAATTTTATATTTGGCAAGAAATTCTGAAAAACTGTATAGCAGTCCATTCTCATTAAAGAGCTGACTGACTAGTATAATACCTTTGTTGAACCATTTTTCATAAAAAAAGAGACTTGTTCTTATAGACAATATTATAGTTGTTCCAGATATAACATCTCTGTGGAGAGAAGTTGTGCTTGTAAAGCATTGCCCACGCTAAAAAAAAAACCTGTTGGTGAAAGTTGGAGAGTTTAATTGGAATTTTCTGTATTTTGTAATTACAGAGCAGAATAAATTTTAGGCCACCTAATTGTGAAAAGACATGATGAGGAATGAAATTCCATATGGAAGTAGGGTTTTTGAGATATTGCTTGATCCAATTTATTTTAAATGTATTATTGAGGGAGCTAAAGTCTATAAAATTTAAGCCCCCTTTGTTGTATGAATTTAAAACTACAGACTTACGGATGTAATGAGTTTTTTTTCCAGAGAAAATTAAATAACATCTTGTCAACAGATTTACAGAAGGAGTTATCCACGTGTAACGATTGAGCAGCATAAGTTAAACGAGAAATGCCTTCCGCTTTGGTGATCAGAACTCTGCCTTTCAGAGAAAGATCTCTTTGCGTCCACCGGTCGAAAACCTTCTGAGTTTTTTCAATGAGGGGAAGAAAGTTTAACTTCCCTCTGGCTTCTCTATCTTTAGTGATATGAAAGCCGAGATAAGTGACTGAGACTTTTACAGGAATATTACAGATTACAGGAGCAGAGCAATTATTCACTGGCAGCAGTTCACATTTGTTCAGATTAAGGATGAGGCCAGAAGCTTTGGAAAAACTACAAATAAAGTTAAGTGCAACTGAAACCTGTGAGGCATCTGCCAGAAACAGAGCTGTGTCATCTGCCAACTGACTAATTAAAATATGATTATTAGCAATACTAATGCCTTAAATGTTACTGTGTTTAATGTGCAGATTAAGAAGTTGGGCAGCAAGAAGAAACATAAACAGAGAGGGGGCACCCTTGCCGTACTCCCCGCTTTAAATCAAACCTTGGGGATGTGCCATTGCTTAATTTGATAGAACTATTTCCAATATTGTACAAAGTTTGGACAGATTTACAAAAGAACTGACCAAAACCAAACTTTTTTAGGGCTTCCATTATAAAATCATGCTCCAGGGAGTCAAAGGCCTTATAGAAGTCCAAGAAAAGGACGAAGCTATCATCATGAACTAACTCAGAATAATCTAATAAATCTAATATCAATCTAACATTATTTGAAATATGTCTATTACACATAAACCCAGACTGCCTTTCATCAATTATAGAGTCAAGCACTGATTTCCGCCTCTTAGCAAGTATCGTCGCAAAGATCTTATAGTCATTGTTTAGTAAAGAAATAGGTCGCCAGTTGTCCAGTAGGAGGCAGTCTTTCTTGGGTTTAGGAATGAGAGCAATTAATCCTTGAGTTAATGTAGGAGGTAAGGAGCCTTTGAAAACACTCTCAGCAAAAACGTCCTTTAAAAATGGAGCTAGGCTCTGAGAAAATTGCTTGTAAAATTCTGCAGTAAAGCCATCCGTTCCAGGTGATTTGTTTGTTTTTAGCTGGTTAATAGCATTAGTAATTTCCTTCAGTGATATAGAGGCAACACAAAAATCAGAGTCAGCTTCAGAAATCTGATTAATATTAGGGATAGAATTAAAAAAGGTAGAAGCTTCTTGAGAGCAATATCTTGAGCTGTAAAGATCACTATAAAACTTGGCGCAATACTGAGAAATTTTCTTTGGGTCATCAATGATTGTTCCATCAATTCTTAATTGCTGAATGGAGTTAATTTTAGATTGCTGCTTTTCTAGGCTAAAGAAATATGAAGAGTTCTGCTCGCCCTCTTCGAGCCACTTGCAGCAAGATGTAACAAAGGCACCTTGCGCTTTTCGTTTATATATCTCATCTAACTTGAGCTGCTGATTGGTTAGCTCCAACTGTTCTGACTCAGTGAGTGCATCTAATGACTTAGAAGTTAGGAATGCAATTTTAAGTATAGTGTCATTTCCCTCTAATCTCCTTTTTTTAGCTAAATCACTACTATATTTTCTAAGGAATTTCGCAATTTTGTACTTCAATAACTCCCAGTTAGTGCTAAAGAGATTTTCATTTTGAGCTTTGTCCCAATATAGTCGAATGAAACTCTCAATCTTAGAGGTCACTTCCTTGTGTTTAAGGACTGTACTGTTTAATTTCCAATAAGAGGTTTTAGGAGGACCAGGAGAAAGAGAAGAAATGATAATTTGAATAGTCTTATGATCAGATAGGGGTGCTGGTAAAATATTTGTAATCAAATTTTTCAAATCCTTGGATATAAGCCAGAGATCAATGCGAGACTGCTTTGATAAAGTTTTGTTGCTCCATGTACATGACTTCTGTAGCGGGTGAGTATCTCTCCATGTATCGGTTAAATCAAAGCTTTGTAAGAACGTCTTCACATACATATTAGAGGAGTCTTCATTCCTTGAAGGCAGCCTATCCAGGCGATTACTTAACACAGAATTAAAATCCCCGCCTAAAACCATAGAAGCTTTTGGGTATTTAGATAACTAGTAAAGGAGACGTTCTTCCAAATTATCAAAAAAAATAAAAATAAAAAAACAATGTTCTCTGCTTGCGAATTGAAGCCATAAGCATTAACTATAAAATAACTTACACCGGCAACCTCTAGGACTAGCAATATGTAACGACCGGTTTTGTCACGTTCAGAATTTAAAACTTTTCCACTAAAGCGGTTTTTCAAAATACAAACACCGGCTGAACGCTCTGACCCATGAGACAGCCACAGGTCGCCCCCCCCACTGTGATTTCCAGAAGTTGGTGTCCTGTTCAATTGAATGCGTTTCCTGTACAAAACAAAAGTCAGTATTAAGTTGTTTGCAGTATAAGAATATAGCTTTTCGTTTTAGATGGTTTCTCAAACCTCTTGTGTTTAAAGAGATAATAGACAAAGACATAAGGAAAATAAACAAAGACAATAACAAGACCAGAAAAACTAGCATGTATGCGAAAATAGATAAAGGTCTCAACAAAGCACCA